TCTGTGAAGAATGTAATTTGTTTTATTTTAATTCTGACATCTTTTACTTTTTACTATGCTTCTACTTTTATTTTCTACCACTTACTATATGATCTGTGATTTGTCCACATGCCCATTCTCCGAAAACAGTTTATTTCATAGGTATTTCCTAATATAATTTCTCATAGTTTGCTTATATATGTGTTTCTCAGTTTATCCTCTTTAGAAATGAAGTGGTATATAGTAAATTCCTGTATTAGTCAGAAACCATTTGGGCAAATTATTATAATCCAACCTAGTATTCTTTATATTAAAGTTGTAATTGATTGAAAGCCATTAGATTCCAATAGCTAATAGAAATCTAGAGGATTCCAGGAAGATTTTATTGCTCATGTCATAGGAAGGAGACATAAATAACAAAGCTTTAGGAATTACAAGGACTTAGAATTTCAAGTTGATTGACACTTGGTTTTTCCTTCTTCTCTCACAAGTTAGCCTAATTTTCTTTTCCCCATATTATATATGAAAGAGGTTTTAAATTTTACTTTTTTCAGTTTTATTCTTTTAGAAAATATTGGCCTTACTCTCTCCAGACCCCTCTGCTGACACACTTCACAGAAGCCATTGCATCTGCTTGGTCAGGTGCCTGCTCTCGACTATGTAATGAGATTGCATTTGGTAATTCTGCCATAGACAGAAGTAAGGAGAGACACGAGTAGGATTGTGGTTTTGAGAATCACAGAAGTTTTGACAGACAAAACCATGTATCCTGTGCTCTTGGCATACGCTTTCTCCTTCATCATCCAATAATTAACTTGAGAAATGTCTAACTCAACTGTGTTCTGTAGTATGTGGTCATAATGCTTTCTTATACTACTACTACAAAAAAAAAAAAAAGAAAAAGAGAGAAAGAAAGAAAGAAGAAATAACAGGTTCAGAGAAGTGAATATAGAGAAGAGAAAGACAGAGGAGAGACTTGGCATTGGAATCCATGACTGAAGGTTCTGATAACAATATTAGTGAAGTTTAATTTCTAAAGAACATCTTCACTTAGTAATGCAGTGAAGTAATAAAGTGAATCAATTTTTATAATTTCACACAGTGAGTGTGTGTGTGTGTATGTGTGTGTGTGTTTCATATGTTGCTCGAGTCCCTTTTCTTAATTTGAGAAATTCTATTCTGGATTGCTTTAAAACATGAACATCTCTTCAAACTGAATGTTCAGATAATGTGAGAGTTTTCTCCACACTATTATACTTTGTCCCTGAGCTGGAAAGTGCATGTTAATCTTGATGTCCCTGATCAGTCATCAGAATTCTACTGCATCTTGTTATTATTCTTTGTGAGTTTTTACAAAGCTATTATTTTTCCTTACTTTCAGGGTCTTTTTTTTTCTATTTAAGTTTCTTTATGCTCATCTTCACTGATTATTTTCTAGCTTCTCCCTTGTAATGATTTTTCTCATTGATCTTAAGTGTTTTTCATATAAATAACATCAATTATTTGTCCTGAATTTCATCAAAATGGTCTCTGTGCTCTTCATCTTTGAGCAAACATCCTAGCCTATACATCACACCCAGCATAGCTTCACTCAGTTTCCCATTTTCTGTTTGCCTTTTGTTACTTCAAAGCCACCAGTTCTATTCCCTCCTGCCACATTGCAGTAAGTAATCCAATTTAAGTGTTCACCCTCCCACTATCTGTCTTAGCTAAGCAGATGCTTACCTATAAAGTCCAATTTTTAAATTAAGTCCCTCCATTATCACAGAGTCCCTGATACTCCTGCATGACTGTAACCATTTCTGTGGTTGCTTTTCCATATTTTCAAAGTGCAGTCTGCAAACAGCAAGGATTTCCAGCTGCAGTGACAGATGCTGACCTGCAGTTCTACGTCCTCCTGTCAGGCATTGTTGAAGAGCATCCACCCTTTCTCTAGCATACCTTATGAGAACATGCCTTACAAGGTGTGTTAATACACTTCCACAGCTCCTTTCTATTTGACTTGTCCCATAAGAATGACTTATCTAAATCTCTGCTTCCTGCATTGCCTCACCTCTTGGAACTACTCTAGAGCTTGTCTACAACATTCACTGCTCTTCAGTAAACACAGTGTCTATACCATATGGATCAAAGATGACATGATTTTAGCAGAACAAAGCATGGCCTGCTTGCTTTGCAAATCAGATCAGACAAATGCCCTATGTCTCCCTATATTATCTCAACACAGGGGTCACACCCAGGGTGTGTGAGGCCCTGGAAAAATACTATTTGCCAGACCCTATCTTTTATGAGAAAAAAGATGGTTAAAATGTTTTATAAAACTCATGGTAACATATGAAATATAGTGATCATTCCAGTAATGTTTTAAATGGGAAGGGAAGAGTTACTTATATAGTTATTTGCTATCTTTGAGTGCACATGAAAATTCCTTGTTATTAATGAAGATCCCCCAAATTGGCTTGTCAATCCCATTCTGGACTTCCAATATCATGTAATTCCAAGAAAGAAATGCATTATTCTCTGCAGAAGTGATCTGATTATCCTCCCAGAATTGGGATTCTACCCTATAGACCCTGTAGTGTTAGTCACAGAATTGCTAAGTATTTGGTCAACAATACCTATTCAACAGTGAGACCTGAAAAGGGCAAAGAGGAGGTTAGGATTCAGAGAGGTCCTAGAAGCTTAGGTGCCTTGTCCAGATGGTACTGTCTGTCTAGGTGAATTTTGCTCATCAAGTTGAGATTTATAACAGTTTTTAAAAGGTGCTCTAAAAAGTGAGGCCCTGGATAGGGGTCCAGCTTGTCTGGATCAGACCAAAATTATCCTAATGCATGGATCTCAGATTCTGTTTTTCATCATCTGTTCCTTGCACTAGTTTAGGTGTTAATTTATTCATTGCTCTCTCTTGCTCGCTCTCTTTCCACTTTTCAGGGTTCTGGGAGGATCAAACCTCAGACCTCATATAGGATAGACATCTGCTCTATCATTACATCCCCTTCCACAGAGGTTAAATTCTTTCAAGTGGCTTCCAAATTGTCTCTGCATCGCTCAGTAAACCGTAAACTCTAACTGTAAATTCCACTTTAACTTAATATCAAAAAGATTTCTTTTTCCTTAAAAAAGAAGAGATATATATACACACATATATATATGTATATATATATACATATATGTATCATGGGAACATATGAAATATAGTGAGATATATATATATATATATATATATGTCTTAAGTAAGGGGAGTTTGTTAAAAGGATACTTCAGGCGTCTTACGCAAGTCTCTGCTTTTCTAATATCTTCTTTCTCTTGAAAGTCCCTCATGGTGGCAATTCTCCCACTCTCTCCTTTCATCCTAACTTCTCACCCCTAAGCAGGGCAGATTTAATTTGCTCGGTTGCTTACCCTCTGTTATGGATTGCTCTGGCTCAGTCACACATGGCCAGTATAGCAGGATTGTTCTCCCTAAAAATCCACTGCTACTTTCACACCAGGTAGGCAGGTTGAGACTTTATGGTCTGGCCAGGGCAAGGCTGTTGATCCTTCTTTTCAAACTGTCTTCCAAAGGGCAGTCCCAATGTATCTTTCCCCCAGAAACCTGTGCCAACAGTGAGGAATTCATTCCTTTGTAATTAGATAATGTGATCAACAAAAAAAGCTAGAATATTGTTTAAATGTACATGGATACCGTCTCAGGAGGAACACTGTATATTTTAGCAAACACTTGTTAATCAATTAAAATTTCTTTCTGGCAAATTATCTGTTCTGATCCTTTAATGATATTGGCTATTTGTTGTCCACAATTACAGTAAGAGTCTTTTCCTTTCTTCTTCTTAACTTTGACAAATAAATCTTTTGACACATAGATTTCAGAATTTTTAATCTGAAACCTGTGTATCAAATTAATCTTTTATTTATTAAAAATATTATAATTATTTTAAAAAGCTATTAATCTTTTCCCTTGTAATTCATCCAATCCCTTTGACCTTAAAATGTTTCCTTTTACTATTTTATTGTTTTGCTAAACATACATCAAATAATTCTGGAACAAACTGATGAATTCTCTCTGCATTAACTTATGAAATAATGTTAAATTTATTTGTTGTCACCCTTTTTCTGTTACACATTTTTATATAAAAGGTATTGTGTCTCAGTCTGCTCACTTATAAAGAATACCCTAGCAGACTTTTTATTCAATCATTTTAACAAGTCCAAAAACGTAGTATAATGTTTCTTTATCTAAAGGGCTTTCTGACTCCTATCATAATTATATAATTTCCTTACTCTCACTTTATAGAAGTGTTTTTATTAATAAAATGTGAATCAAAATTGAAATAAACTTAATTTTATTTCATAATCAACAAAACATTTCAAGTAAAAAGTACAACTAAAAAATCTCCAATTTTTGCTTTAATTTCACATTTTATACAGTGCACAATATTTGTAAGATTCTCATTTTGATTATTTTATAACTAAGGTTGGGGAACAGCCTTAGTTATATATACCAAAGAATTTCTGCTGTTGTTTCCCTCATTTGAGAGCTATAAAGCAGATATTTTACTCCCCACAAAAATTCTAGGAAAAAAATATACTTTGCTTCTTTTCCTGTTAAACATTAAGAATGACTTGAAAGTTAAAATAGCCTTGTTATTAAGATTGAAGCTCTCTTGAAATCTTACTTGGCTATCACAACTTCTAAATTTTCTTATTTAAAAAAAATAATTTACAAGAATTGAATATCCTGTGGTTTTGTTGTTGGTTTTGTTTTGCTTTCTTCCTTCCATCTTTCCCCTTTCCTTCTTTCTTTCCTTGTGTGCATATTTAATTAGAGAGCACCTTTCTATAGACATTAGGGAGAAAAATTTCCCTTGAGGAACAATGAATAATAAAAATTATATGAAATTAATAAAAAATGCTATATGCAATGTTTTATTATATAAAATATGTTTAGACACTATTAGCTGTGACCACTGTGCTGCAGAAGCTAAAATGAGAGTATATTTTCTTCACTAAAAATCCCAATGTTTAGAGAAACAAAGAGCAACATACACTAAATACTTTCTTATTCAGAAATGAACCACAAGCTTTTGAATGATACTCCAGTGATTTCTGTTATTAAATTCAAAAGGCAGCCCCTGACATGGGGCCACAGATTCTCTCTGGTGCCCACGTTTAAGGATGTCCCCTCTTGGACACAGGTGAACACCTGCAGACAGGGTCCTCTTAAATAGCTGTCTGCACCAGCAACCACATGGCATGGTTTAACCATTCCACAAAGACTCTTCAGAGAAACTTGGGTTGAAATTCATAGAGAAACAGACAGGAGATGATTCCTAATGGCTGAGAACCAATCCAGGAAGAAGAATTTTCCATGATTGAAGCTTCTCTTTTGATAAGAGATTGTCTCCCCAGTTACTCATCCTTATTTGTCTGCAAAGTTACAAGAGAAGATCCCTAGATAAAGTGCTTTTCCAGTTGCTAGAACCAAGTTTAAGAAAGAAAATTAATCCCTTAAGATAAATGTGAGCTCAATGCCAAAACCAGTTTGCTTTTAGGTCAAATTAATTGAATGTGTGCTTTTCCTTTTCTAACAACATCACTTCAGTGGTGAGGAAGTTAAATCCTCACACTAGAAAATTCAAGGATTTCTGCTTCAATAATATGATAATGATTGAGGAGATAAGCACCATAAGAGTCCACCTTGGAAAAACGCGTGTGAAAATTGGAGCATCTGGCCACAGCAACAGAGGTCGGCTTTCTTTGTTTGCTTCTCTCACTTATAAACGAATGGAATCAAGGAACTTCAGAGTCTCCAATGTTCTGCCATTCTGTGCCTGTGTAAATCCATAAAAAATCCAAGATTGTAAAATACTTTATGGTTCAATTACTAAAGGAAGTAAAACTAAAATTCCTTAGGCTAGAAGATTTTTTAAAACGGTGACTTTTTTTTTTCTGTACAGTCCTATGGGAAAGTAAATGAAGATTATAAACTGCACATAGCTGAAATTTTATTTTAATCTAAAGCATGTACTGCATCATAACGGATTCACAGATTAGAATCACTATAATGAATAAGCCTCACATAGAATGCAAAGTATATAAATATATAGCTATTGGGGAAAATGCTAATTTTATTATTATTATGTTTGCCAGATATAAGTGGAAAAAAAATGTGTTCAAAGAAGATGTGTTTTACATTGTAATACCCAGCCTGTGTGAGCGTATTCAAAATTCACTGGAAACTCATCTGTCATTTGGACCAAACCTTCAAAATACTGTTTTGCCTATTTGTTATTTCCTTTCAATAAAGGGGGGGGGGGGGGGGGGGGAATAAAGGAAAAACAAAAAGAAAGAAAGCGTCCTACTCAGGAATCTGGAAATGCCTTAATGATGGAATCATAGGCAGGTGGTGGCGGGATTGAGAAGCCCACCCGGAGGCTGTCGCTGGACCAGTGGAAGTCCGGCCGGCTCAGAGGCTGGGAGGCGTTGACAGAGGCGGATGTGCTGGAAGAAGGCAGGGTCATCAACTGACTCTCAGTTTGTACAGGAAGCGGTGGACACTGCAGAAACGGATGGAAAGTGGAAGCTCTGAAACTCGATTTTCTCGGGAAGGAATTTGCTAGCTCCAGGGACGCTTGTCGCTGGAAAGTGAGGCTGGCCAGGCTGAGGTTGCTTCTGCGCTCACAGCCGCTGTGGCGGTAAAACCCAGTTCTGTTGAGGCTCTGGGTGTGCGAGGACCTGGATCGCCGGCTTGAACTCCACTGTGAGATGGGAGCGCTGGCTCTTCTTCGAGACAGACAAACCAACAATGCCCAAATAAATCCTCCAATTACCAGCCCGATCGCCATGGATACCGTGAAGGACATTAGAAGGTCCTCTGAAACAAAGAATAAACAGCTGAATTGATTTTTAAATAAGTATTCCATTAAAAACACAGGACAGAGTGTAAACTGTAAATTCATGGGAAACGATTAATTTAAGCCTACTTTGGATAAGAGAAATGGTGCTACATGGATGGGCACAAATTCGAGCCCATGCTTCCATTCATTCCAACAGAAAGATACAAATGACACCATTAGCTGCAGCGTTCCGGGTTGCTTATGCCATTTGTCATATTTATGACTAAAAATAGTTTCACCAAGGCCATCCTTTAGCTCATCAGTTAGTTGCGAATGTTATTCAAAGATAATTTCCTTTTGATTGACAATTGCAACCTAGGTGCCAAACTGATAAAGAATTTCCTGGTCACTTTGCCTTTTCCTCCGTCTGCTGTCAATCACACTAATTTCTCCCACTAGCCTTCTCATGATGCCTCACTTCCTGTGCTCATTCTGAGACAGGAAGTACTGGCACAGAACCATCTAGAGAGCTGACTGATTGATGCCTTATTTCCTGAACTTCAAGACCATCTCATGGGTCTCTGACTCCATGATGCCATGACTATGCAGCACCTGGGCTCCAGCTCATGCTGCTATCAAGTCCTGATTGTGATAATGGAATTCCTGTCCCCTGAATGTCCATACAGTCCCATTCAGTCTCTTTCACGTAGACACTTAACTGTATCCTCCAATTCATAGAACTTGCTTTTTTTTTTTTCCCCCTATCCTGGAAAAAAACAGAAAATTAAAAAAAAAAAAAAAAGAAGAAGAAGAAGAAGAAGTCTATCCCTTTCCCAGATAGAAATGATATCTTACTGCTTCTTTCAAACTAAAAGCATTGTGTGTGTGTGGGAGGGGGTGGAGAAAGGGAGGGGTGGAGAAAGGGAGGGATGGAACTCTGGGCCTTGTACAAGCTACATAAAATCTTATTGAATAAAACTCAATATCTTATCCCTACTTTAACTGGAAAAAAACCCTCCTGCTAAAGACCCCTCCAGCCTCACTAATGACCGTATTTTCCACTCTCCACTCTCTTGACATAGTTCACAAGCGGTGCTGGTTTTCTCCCTGTCCCCAAGCTTGCCTTTTCCTCTAAACCACTGTGCTTTCCCATATGATTTTCTTTATATCTGGATACAACTTTTTAAATTATTTGTTTTAATTGGCTATACACGATGGCAGAATGCCATAATTCATTTTATATTACACATATAGAGCATAATTTTTCAAGTCACCTATTGCACACAAAGTATTTTCACACCTTTGTGTCTTCATATGTGTATTCAGGATAATGATGTCTAACTCATTCCACCATCATTCTTACCCTCTAGTAAGAATTTTGAAGGTTTGGTCCCTACCCCTTCCCTCCCCTTTGCCCTATCTAAAATTCTTCCATTCCTCCCATGCCCCGCCCCATCGCCATTATGAGTCAGCATCCTCATATCAAAGAAAATATTCTGCCTTTGGATTTTTGGGATTGGCTGACTTCACTTAGCATTATATTCCCCAACTCCATCCATTTACCTGCAAATGCCATGATTTCATTCTCTTTTAATGCGGAATAATGTTCCATTGTGTATATATATATCAAAATTTCCCTATCCATTCATCTGCTGAAGGGCATCTGGTTTGGTTCCACAATTTAGCTACTGTGAATTGTGCTGCTATACACATTGATGTGTCTGTATCCCTGTAGTATTCTGTTTTTCCAATAAAATATAATTTATTTTTCTATTCTTTGGATCCAGGCTGGGTACAGGACTCAATTTGACCAAGAGAATGCAATGGAATCCAAACCTTGCAAGTTCAAGCCTAAGCTGCAGTAGACTTTCATTTTCTACCCTTGCTGTGCTTGGGAATTCTCTCATTGTGGGCATGTGGATAAGGCCAGTGGTGGTGACAGAAAAACATGGCCTGGTTCCCTGTATTGCTCTGGTCAAGAGCCTGCTATCTTTGACAAGTGAAAGGGATAATTCTAGAGAGGTCAGTTGCTAGTGAACTCACCAACTAAGGTTGAAAATCAGCAGAAAATCCATCAGGCTGACCTCATCCCAAATCATCAGCCCATGGAATTATGAGCAAGTAGATGATCATTGCTTTAGATCACCATGATTTGGGGGGCATTATAGAGAGCAAGAGCTCACTGATAAAAGATTCTAAATGCAGATCTTTCCCCATTATGAGATTTGTAGGGGACTTTGTTTGGACTCCATAATTTCAATATTTTTTTAAATGATGGAGTTAGATTTTATGATTGCCAAAGTTTTTTTTTTTCAGATTATTCTTGTAACCTATGTTAATGTATAGAAAATCTGTAAGACAGAAATAACAAGTTGATCTTAACAAATGCATAAGCATAATCACTCTGCCTAATTTTAGTGACCTTCTACCATATGCTGCCACATCTATATCCTGTGGAAAGGATCCTTTGTGGTATCTTTTCTGGCAATTATCCTCAAAAACAATTATAATCAAAACCCTGTAAACCAATGATTTATACCAAATCTAAATGATATGTTTTCCAAAAATAACATGATAATTTCTGAATTACAAGATGATTTAAGACAGATTTGCTAGGCCTAGAACTGTTATTCTAAAATCTTTCTCATAAAAATAATGTTGATATAGCCTTAGGGTACAATGTCCTCAGACAGGTTTTGTGGAGGTAGGTGACATCCAAAGAAAGCAAATGGAGGTTGGGAGTGCCCAAGGCCCCTTGGTTAGATCCTTGGCACCAAGAAAAAAAAAAGAAAAGAAAAAAAAAAAAAGGGTGGCACAGAAAAGAAAAAAAAAAAAAAAAGCAAATAGATGTAGTCCACATTAAAGCTGGCCTTGTTGGTAGCACAGTATGATTCCTAATTTAGCTATCGGTGAGCAAATATTTGAAAACTAAAATTCTGCTTAAAAAGAAATTTTAGGAATTCTGCATTGCCAAGACAATGACAGCCATGAAAATCCCATTTTCCAACATTTCTTAACAAAAAATTTAAAAAAGGAGAAAACAACAAACTGAACAAATAAAATCATGAATATGGTTTATGCCTTCAGCCTATTTAGAAGATGAACATCAAAACTTCAAGTTACCACAAAAAGAATACTGGAAAAGAGCCACAGGAAGTTGTTTCATTTTTCTTCCCTTTTTCCACATCTATTGACTTTTAAAAACTTTTCACGTGCTTTTTTTTCCCCTCCTTTTTAGAATTTAAATTATATTTTTCTTTTTTCCATCCTAAGAATTCTATTTCTATTGTTTTATAACTTTTGACTCTAGTTTACATTATTTTTCCTCTATTTTTGAGTGTAGTGGTTATTGGTAGTGTTTTATTTTATTGAGTTTTTGGGTTTTCTTTTTCTTCATAGCACTGATGATCAAGCCCGAGACTTTGGCCACATTGGGCAAGTTCCCTACCAAGAATACACTCCCAGCCCTGCTCCACCCATGACCTAGTCCCACTCAAACCTTGGATAATATGTTAACTTAAAGAAAAGGAGGAACAAAACCCTTAGCCAATGCAGCCCAGCTGGGGGAATCTGACAGCCCACTCTAGACACTGCAATAGCAGGAGAAATAACACAAGTGTGGTGGACACCACACCTGTCAAGGATCTCAAATTTGTCACACACCCCATCAGATCATACAATTATGACAAGACTTTAAATGAGTGCCAAAGAGATGGGGTGGAGGTGAGGGTAGGCTACCCCAACTCCTGCGTCTCTCAGAGAAACACAGAGTTCTGTACAAAAGTATAAACAGAATAAATGCTTCAGACCCTTCACAACAATTGGAAAAGTCAGTACTGGAATGACTTTCAAGTAACAGAACCAATATCAACAGTACATGAAGAACCACCCCCCTCCCATTATGGTTTGAATATGTGGTGTCCCCTAAAAGCTCATGTGTGTGACAATGCAAAAATGTTCAGAGGTGAAGTGATTATGAGAGTTGTAACCCAATTAGTGGATTAATCCACTTGAATGAATTAACTGGGAGTCAGAGTGTGGCTGGAGAAAGTAGGTCACTGGGAGCATGACTGGGGTTTATATTTGTTTCTGGTAAGTGGAATTCTCTCTGCTTCCTAGCTGCTATGTCCTGAGCTGCTTTCTTCTGCCATATCTTCTTCCATGATAGTCTGCCTCACCTGAAGCTCCAGTCCAGGGCTACAGAGTTGGCCAACTATAGAATGAACCTCTGAAACTGTGAGCCAAAATAAACTTTTCCTTTGCATTACAACGACACAACACTGACTAAAACAGCCCCCATTAACTAATAGGGGCTTCCACTCCCGTTGTAAGAGCAACCACATAGGGTGCACCCCTCTACTTCTTCTGTCTACACCACATCTGCCTGAACCATTGGAGGCTAGAGGGACCTGACTCTTGCTTGACTTACAGAGGAAACAGGTCCCTCAGTCCCCTACATGGTACACATTGTGTCAAAATCCCCTAATCAAGCTGAGAAAGCCACAGGGAGACTACACTATGAAATCCAACTGGAGTCAAGGGCAAACACTACACAAAAATCAATACACTAAGACACAATTTCAGAAGAAGGTAATATGACACCCCTAAAGTTAATAATTGCATAGTAACAGATTCTAAAGATATCAAAGGAGATAAAATATATTCAAAAGAATGATTTTATAAAGCTCAATGAAATCCAAAAGAATACAAATAAACAGTTACATGAATTAAAAAAGACAATGCAGGATATGAATGAGCATTTCCTTTAAGAGATCCAAAGTCAAGAGAAAGTAAAAATTATGCCAGAGGGGAACGTGGGCTGGGGAGAGGTTGATAAATGAATCTAAGTTACAGTTAGACAAGAGTAAGGAGCTCTGATTATGCACCATACAACTCAAAAAATCGGAAGAAAGGATTTTAAAAGTTTTTACCATATTGAAAAAATAAATTTTTGAAGGAACACATATGTTTAATCTGATTAGAGCATTATATCATGTACACATGTATAGAATCATCACACAATGCTCCATTTATATGT